CTGGCAATGGCTGCCAATGCTGTGCCAACCAAGAACTGCACAGCAAAAAAAAGGAGAGAAAGTCTACCTGAAAATCCCCACAACCCAGCCAATTTCCCCTCCAAACAGCACAGAAAGTAGGAGTTCGTCACTCAGCTTTAGCATTCCTCCCTCCCTGGGCGTGATACATACACAAATTAGAAAGGTCTATTTTGGCAAAAAAATCATCTTCTGAACTCCAGAAAAATCACTCTCCTTGTTTCCTGGGGGGATGGAACCAGCCTTGCCTTTCCACCAGCTGCCCTGCACCCAACTGCACAGAGCCCCACACCCTCAGCTCCACACAGGCCTTTGAGCCTGGCTCTGTTGGCGAGCAGACCTTGAAAGGCCTTTCTTATTTCTACTCCTCCCTTTACTGTAATCTCCCCCCACATGAGTAGCAGCAACAGGATCATGATGACTGAAGCTTCCCATCCTCTCGCAGTCTCTTTAGCCTCCAAGCTGCAAGCAGCCCACTCCAAAACTCTTAGCAATAACTCTTCTCTAGTGAAGGGTGTCAGTCACTACCTTCTCCAGCTGTCCCAACACGTTCCCGCGCCCCAAGAATACTGCAGCAACCTCTCCATTTGTCCTCCCCTAACTCTATCCAGGTATCTTCTCCACTTTTCAACCTAGCTGTATGGCAAAGACAGATACATCCTCTCTTTCTGGGAATGCACTCTCACTACCTATTAAAAACACTGTCTGACACCTTCTGAAGCTACCAGCACTGTCTTAATTGGCAAAGATTTGGGCTGACATTTTCCAGGACAGGTTTCCAGAATTTTTGGAAAGTTCAGTCACAACAGTTCAGCTGTTACGGAAAGAAAGGTTCAGGAAAATTAATTCATTTCTCGAATTAAATAAACAAACAACTTAAGCATTAGTGGAACCCATTTCTCCTTTGTCCTCTCTCCCTTGTAGGCTTGCTTCAGAGCAACAGTTTGGCAAAAGCACTGGCTTTATGCCAGGACATGCGTCAGCATCTCAGCACGAGATTCTGGAAGAGCCAGAACAGGGGGTAACGACCTAGCTTGCTCAATGCAAACATTTGTTAAGGCCTCCTTACCACAAAAATGACAATCAGGGGATGCCAAGACCCACACTACAAACACCCATGTTGATTATGCCCTCCTCGGGTCACAGACAAAACTAATGCTGGTGCACCTCTTGTCACCCTCCTTGGATAGCAACAGATGTTTGTGCAATGGACACACAGAAGGTGGCATATGAATACATAAGAGGTGGCTGAAGCGGTACAGTCTGGAGGCAGACTGGCCAGCATCTTTTAATCTGCCTATATGATGCAGGTGGTAGAGGGGATTGGAAAACAGATCGCAAACGACAAGGTGTAGAACATCACAACCTTCTGGAAATCAGTTGTGGCCCTTGCTTCCTGGAACACAGAACATAAGGTGCTGGGAGTCGGTCACCCTACGACATGAAGCACCTCTACAAGTAATCCAAGAGGTATCCTTTCATCTCCTTTCAGAAAGATACTGCTTTTGCCACCCCGTGCTTTCTCTGTGGTGGGAACCCTGGTGCGCTGCCCAACTAAAGGCTATCGCTGCTATAAGTAGATGGAAGGACTTAGTCAAACCCTTGGCAGAAAATCACAAAGTCCAAGGCAAGCCTACACCTGGAGGTGTTCAAAAAACGTGTAGATATGGCACTACGGCACTTCAGGACATGGTTTAGCAGGCATGGTGGTGACGGGTTGACGGTTGGACTTGATGATCTTAGAGGTCTTTTCCAACCTTAATGATTCTACGATTCTATGAAAATAAGTTGAAGGAAAATGCCCTCAATATCCAGATAGCAACAACCTGGTCTCCAAGAGAAAGGCTGGTCTCCTGCAGAAGGCAGATGAACATCACACCAGAATGTTGCTATGTCTGTGTCATGCTAAGCGAATTACTTAGAACTATATTAAAAAATAAAAAAATTGTTTCCAATGTTTTCCATTTTCTGCGCGACCTTACTGAAGTGTTGGTAACTCTTGGTTGCAAGTGAAATTAAAGTGATTTTACTTTAAATGTGAAGAAAACTGCATTAGAAGTAATTTCGCATTAAGTGCCCAAAATTAGCAAACGTTTTTGCTATAATCTGTCTGCCTTCATTACCTATGGTTAGTGAACATACCATCCTCTTATCTCACAGGGACATTGCAAGGATAATTAGGTCTTGTGGAGCATTCCAACTGTATTTGGAGTTAATAGTCATGCCAAAACAAAGTGAGTATTTTTGTACTCAGTAGAGTTTGCACAGTGCCCTGTAAATAAGGTGTACACACAGCTCTAGAGATAAAATATTGAATCCAGTGAGTATCATTCACTATATACATTGAACAATGCAGTAGCCCCCCAGAAAAATAATAGGACATGATTGCATGATTGAAAGTTATCATAAAGATTCAAGACAAGGCTATAAGCACAAGGCAGGGCTGGATAACCACAGTCATTTCTTAACTTCTGAATGACTTCACAATCTTCACATTTTGTCAAAGTGGTGTATACAGCGCATGTGTTGTGTTGCTACATGCACTTAGCTGTTGACTTCTAGACTCAGGTCATAAAGATAATCTAAAATTTTCAGAAGTAATTGCACGCATCTAAGAAAGAAGTAAAAGGGCAAGAAAACAACTATAAAAGCAAACACATGTAAATGAAAAGTGTTTTCTAATAATGAAGTGTGGTGAAAAAGAAAACATAAAAGATATAGGTCCTGGTGCTTCTGGTCCAACACATTTTGTGTGCTTGGCTCAGCACAGTGTGCTTGACACAATTTTGTTTCTGATGTCTTTTCTGCTACAGCTGAAAACATGACTACAGTAAAAGCTATCTAACAACTCACGATGACAGAAAATTTAACTTGTTTGGGAAATACTGCAACCATATAAATTAATCCCTTTCTTGTTATGGACTGTCCTTCATGAGTAGCATTGTCATTTGTGGACTAATCACAGACAGGATCAGCTGAATCGGTTGAGGTTCACGATTAAAAGTCTAATCTGTATCAGGACATTTCTTTCTTTTGGAAGCCATAAAACATCTTTTTATAGTCAGAGAGAAGAAAGCAGCCATTTATGTTAAAAATTATTTTTAAAAAGGCAGCCTTCCAGCATGATCAAGGTAACTTTCATATTAACTACTGTTAAAGGCTTATGAGGCAATATTCAAATAAAGAACAAGATTAAATACTAGGCAGTGTCTCTTCCAGGCCTCCAGTCACATGCACTATGACAACTGGTTCTTTGAAGATAACTCTCAGCCATATGTAGTCACATAGCATTTTTCCTTCATCCCGAGAAACATAACCTGGAAATCTCAAGCCAATATTAAAACATTCTTGGAGCTTTTGAATTTACTAATGATCATTTCTTCATTTGAAAGCCTCTTACATATCACAAGAATTCTCATCTTGAGAGATAAAAAGCATCTCAGAATTAACAGACTGAAGCATAAGCAGCTAACTAGATTCCATACTTTCTAGTCAAGTGAAACCAAGCAAACATCAACAATATATGTCCTTGATAATGCTTTAAGAGATCTTGACAATACATTTTTATAAATGAGAAAGAACAACAAGAACACTGTCTCAAGTAGGCTTCTTAATCTAACATTTATCCTAGAAAAAGTAAGGAAGCATATAATACTGCACTGACCAATAAAGAGCGACAGAAAGATGTATATAATGATTGCTAAGTAGCAATGGCTTGTGGAACTAGTCAGACTACTGGAATCGTTTTGATGCAAGATAAAGTGTCCAATAAAGACGACTGTGTTGATTTACATGTACACTGATATTCATAAAATATCCATCATCTTCTCCTATGACATCTTCATTAATAGGCCAGAACAATATAAAGCCAACACATAGGTTAAACCACTTAAATGACAGATTTTAAAATGTCATTTACGACGTGGGAATTTGAGGTTGTTTGGCTACACTTTCTTAGAAATACAGTAGGAAGGAAGTGACAGTTGTCTTTGTGCTATTAAGCATTTTTATGAATGACCTGGGGAAACCAAAGGTTTGCAGATGACAAAGATATTCAGGGAAATAGCAACTTGGGATTGAAGTGCTCTACAATCTAGGAAGCAAAAGCATAAAGGGAAACAAAGGCTGAACATCAAACAAATTAATTCAAGCTCAAACTAAGACATTTTTGACTGTGAAAACAGCAGAGTCAATAGTTATTTACCCAGGCAAGCAGCAGGCTCTCTACCAAGCCTATTGTAAAAACAAAAATAGAAATTTTCCTTAAGTTCCAAGCTATAGCTATGCTACTGAACCTGAAGAAAAAAAATCAAGCAAGACAGCCTGAAGGTCTACATGAAACCACAGGTCAGGCTAGGTGGTCCCTGCT